GCGCGCGCGCGTGCGCAACTGCACTTTTGTCGTCCAGAACTACGACCTATAGAAGACTCTATTTCCGAAACATATATGCAGCTTGCACTGCGTATAGGCCACTGCACTTCCCTCACGACCTCGCCCTGGGACCTCCCTCAACCTCCAGCAATTTGCTTTCTGAGAAGCTTCGTCTACGAAACATTCGGCTGGGCAGGCGGGGTGAGAGAAACAGAGGGGTTCTGGGTTCAGGGTTTTAGGGGGTTTATAGGGTGTAGGTGTAGGGTTTTCCAGGATGCGGAAGTCATAACCCTGCATTTGCGAAAGCAAAGACCCTAGAAGCCTGAAGTCCCACCCCTCCCAAATTTCAAAAACGAGCTCGAACTATGACCTAGAAATCCTCCTAAGGTCTCACCTCCTGACTATCAATCCCGAAACCTTATTCTGGATCTAGCTGCTCTTCCGGTACTTCGTACTGGTTTTCTCGTGGACCGGGACGATTGGATCTGCAGGTTGGAATACTTTTTTCTGGCGTTGCAAGATCCATAGTCCATAGATTTCTGAAATCCTATGATGTCATGCCCCAGAGATGCGAGGCGAAGACAACTAGCTGAAGCTTGATAGATGGGCATTAGCTGGCTTCCCCCAAGGACCTGAAACCGACACCTTGGAACAGCTTCTCTCAGATTTATTCTCCTGCGCGAAGGAAATTTGCTGTGCGTTTGACAGCCTGGTTGTAGAAAGCGAGACCTCGCTTGCTGAATGTGTAGTCCTTGCCAGACAAATCCATGTGACCAGCCTCTCGCAGAAAATGCATGGCCGCCAATGGGATCTTCCCGCTCTCATCTGAAGCATCCTGGCCTTCTTTTGCCTCGAGTGTCAAAGGCCAAACCAGCACCTTTCCAAGCGGAATCGTAATGACATGCTGCAGCGCACAGCCTCGGCTTCGACGTTTCGCAGCAGAGACTTCTGCCACTTTGGTGGGCGGTGACCAGGTTCCAAAAAGATTGGGGCGTTCGTACTTCTCGGGCTTTGCGATGTCTCGCCAGACCTCGATGATCGCCATGCTCTCGCGAGAATGCTCTCGCATGATTCGCAGGATTCGCCCCACCCTGCAAGGCAGAAGACGGTTCTTGCCACATTCGAAAATGACGAGCATCCCGGTCTCCAGTTCATCGTTGCAAAAGCCGGAATCGGCCGCCGCGGCGCGAGCACCCACGACCCTCAGCAAGCCCGTGCTCCCGGGACGGTTCTGCGCAGAAGAGCCCGGAAACGCTGCACTCATCGCCTTGCGAAGCTCTTCAGAAAAGCCCAGCCCGCCGTTCACGCCAGCATTTCTTTGCTGTTGCTCTGCAGCGCGGCGAATTTTGACGATGCGGTCACCCACCGATTGCTTAGAGGGGAGGAAGTCTTCATCCTCATGGTGCAGAATGGCCAGGCATTGGTCCACGCCAGATGTCTGCATGTTCCCAGCTTGGAGGAGCTCACGCAGCTTCTGGAACCATGATTGTGCCTGCGTCAGGAAAGAATCATCCCAAC